AAGAAAAAGAAAAAGAAAAAGAAAAAGAAAAAGAAAAAGAAAAAGAAAAAGAAAAAGAAAAAGAAAAAGAAAAAGAAAAAGAAAAAGAAAAAGAAGAACCCTGCCTATATGTCTGGCTGTCTTCATGCAGCCCACCCCAGAAATCAGGGAAGACTCTTATCCCCTAAAGCCAGGTGAAAATGGTTTAAATAAATACACACATACACACAATTGACTTTATTATTCACCTCATAGTTTAAAAGAGGTGATGGAACAGGTCACTTCCTCTCACCAGTAAGCGATGAAGGGTAGAAGTCTCTGCAAAAAAGGAGGAATGAGTTATTTTCAAGGAGACCGTGCCCTTCCCATAGGCATTTTCTTGCATGCAGCTGAAGAGGCATCGGCGATAACGCGGAGAGCAGCCACAGGCCCCAGGAACACTCGGAGGCAGAAATCCCCACAGAAAGGCTCTGCCGGGAGGGAATTGTCCCTGGGCTGCGCTTCGCCCTCGCACAAGATGTACAACACGACGGGAACGCGTGTGTTTGTTTGTGGGAGCTTCCCCGGGCCTGACACGGAGCCAAGCGAAGGCGGCAGCTCCTCCGGATGCAGGAGCTGCTACGTTCATCTCCTCCTCTCCTGGTGGGAGAGCCGCGTCGGCCCCGGCCCAGCACGTACTGAATCCCCGCTAAGCCCTGCTGAGCAGTTCTGGGGGCGTCCAGCCTGGGCTTGGGCTTCGAAAGTCCCCAGTGTGGCCAGATGGAGAGAGAAGCCTAACAGTTGTCCTGCAGAATGAGTTATTTGGTAGTAGTGCTATTTGTGTTTCCAAATCCTTAGGGTTTTTTTTTTTTTTTAAATAAAACAGATGGTTTCCCAAAATAGTAAGATTCCCCCTTTTTCTCACAGAAACGGCATTCTGGCAGTGGAGTTTTTGGGAGGCGTGACAGGTCCTTGTAGGACGTGTTTGTTAACAAATGCACGGAGAGCTTCAGCGCGGCTCAGATGTCGCAGAGGACGTTGATGACAACAAACCTGCAGGAAGGGCCTTTTCCACCTGCAGCGACCTCCTTCCCATAGGAACTGAATAAGCTTACTGGAATATGCATAGGAACAACAACATTTGTATGGTTAGATGCACGGCTACGATGGAGAATAAAGGAGGTTTTGTCCTCCCTTTGCTGTTCCAGAGCAACGTATGTTTTGTGTCACCGAACAAACTCAGTGCTGCCAGGAACCGAGATCATGAGCGTGTGCTGGTATTTGTGACACTGATGGGAAAAGAAGAGAAAGAAAAAAAAAAAAAAAAAAAGGTTTTGTCAATGGGAATTTTGCTTTAAGTCAAAATTGTGTTTTTACAGAACAAACTGTTATGTGTCCCCTCCTGGTGAAGGGCAGCAAATGTCAGCACAGCAATAAAGGGAAATATTTTGCTGAGGTCCCATGGGCAAATTTCCTATTCAAATTAAAAACACAAACCTGGTGCGGAGAATATTGAGTCAGCCTCAATGGTTTAGATCTAGGAGAAGAATCTAATACACCTTCCCAGGCATTTTTCAATATCTGCCAATATTAAATGCCTGCGCCAAGTGGAGCTTAACAGATAACACAGTGCTTTGCTTGCCATAAAAATAGCTGTAAGGATGAGAGCTGGCGAGCATTAGCGACCTAATACTGATTCGTTTTATTGCATTTGTGTAAGTATTCACAAGAAGGTTGAAACAGGGCTGTCTCTTTTTGCTAAACATCTATTGCTTTCCGTGGTTATCTGCATCATGAACGCAGGTAAGAAATAGCAGCCGGATCGCAACGCTGCGTTTCTGCTGAGATGTTGTTAAGTGTCTGACAGCAAACACGAGTCTCTCCCAGCGGATCACAGCTGACATTTCCTTTCTGCTGCAGAAAGCAGTTTCCTCCGTGGGGTTAAGCCTCAAAGAGCAGCTCAGCCGGAGTCACAGGCTCATTACCCTGCCCTTGCACAGCTACAGCAGACCATCAAAGATGACAAGCGCGAGGCTTCTCCTTATGATGTTGCTGCAAATCTGACATGAAAACGCACGCCCGGAAAGCCTGCACACGGCAATAGATAATATTGACTAATGCAACGTGGACTAAGACCCCAATTTAGTAGCCCCTCCATCAACACAAGGCAATAAGCAAGGCTCTTTTTGCCCAAAGAAATCGGATGAAATAAGATGAAAGGCAGCAGATGGGAGAGCAACAGGAATCTATGAGACAAGGCTGGTCAGCAGGATAAACACCCAACTGGAGCATTCAGCAGCCAAGGGCACTGCAGCAATGGGGAGAATTAAAAGTGGCCGTGACAAGGAATTGTTATAACCAAAGCATGGTTGTCATGTTATTTAAATGTCTCTATTTAAATGAGATCTGATGTGCAAGTGAAGCAGCACTGTGGCTTGGAACTTACCTGTAATGATTTGAATTATTTTATTTAATGGTGATCTTTTCAAGATTTCCAGGTTTTGACCCAATACCCAGGGAGTCAGAACTGAACGATACCCACGCAGTGAAGCTCTGTTGTGAAGCTTGGTTCAAAAGCCCCATAACTCACTGTCACTGCTCACCCGTGTCCCTGCTCACAGGGTGCCAGGGCCACCCATCTATCTTTCTAGCCTTAAATATTCACTGAGGTGAATAGCAGGTTCTAAGGCTGGGAATCAGAAAAAGATGGCGAGCCCGGAAAAAAGACCAGTCAAGACACAAGAAAGAAGCACTAATTTCATTAGAGGATTATCCCTCATAGAGGATTTTCTCTTTTCTAAGGTTGAAAAACTTCCCATCTTTAAGCTCTGTGGGAATATTCAGAAAACTCTGGGAGAACCGTCCACACGGTCACCAGACGGGGAGCTTTTCCAGGGCCTGATTCTGGGCTTCCAGGTTCAGCTGCACCCCTAACTCCCTCTTGGTAGCTCTACTGGAAGAAACTACACCTTTAAACACTTCCCCACACACCCACACTTCCAATGCAGCAAATTCCTTAAGCTCATCATCTACCCACTTGGACAGCAAATTTTAATACACAGAATTGGCAGTAGTTTAACAACTTGATCTTTCTCTGGCATAATTGCAATGGATGTTCAGCCACAGCAAGAAAATGCCTAAAATCAAGATGGGCTTGCAAACAAAAAACAGCAGTGGGTTTAAGGAAAAAGAAAAGGAAAATGCAGCACACATTATTTCGTATTGCTCGTTTCTTTAATGATTTAAAAATATAAAAGCTTTGCCTATATATAAGAAAAGAGCTCAGATGTTCTGTATGTTTTGACAAAGTATTTTAAACATTCTCATGTCACAAAAAAGTATATACACACACACACACATACATAGAGACTATGTATGAATCTAATGATCTCTGTGTATTGCATAGTACCTCGCAAAAGAGAAATTCAGTGCTCCAAGGCAATCAGCCTGGGAAGTAATTAGTGCTAACTAACTCTTCATTAGATTTTGAGACTCTTATGAAGGCAGCAGGCACACACTGCTTGGAACCTCTAACATTGGTCTCGAAAATACAACTGGAAAGTACTAGTAAGGCATAACGGTGTTTTTGTCCTCTATTAGTTATTATATTGACTGACCAGCTTCACACATTAAAGAAATACTCATCACAGTATCTATAACTGGAGATGACTTGGACCCTGTGTTGGCGGTAAGAATTGTATAAGCAAAAGACGACTTGGAAGTCTAAATGCCTCTTGATTTTCACATCAAAACTTTGGATATACCCCCATGTCTGAATAACACACTGCCAAGGGACACTGCAAGTACTGCCCTGCTGTCAGTCAATAAACTCCACCACTCCCATGAAACCAAACCCTCTTATTTTCTTGTGTCAAGAACTTCTGGTGCCATTGTCTAAGGTGTCTCTCAGAATGTCAGAAATGTGCTCTACCTCCCTCATCCATCTCAAAGGTCTTTCTCCTGCAGACGAAGGCGACTATGGAAAAAGGCCACTGTTCCTGTTTAGTGTCCCCCCACCACCTTTCACAAAGATATCCTAACTTTGTTGTCGTATTTAGCACCTGATCAGCTTATCTAGCTTTGTAGGTCTAACTATGCTAATAACTCTGAGTATTCCTCCTTTCTCAGTATGACACAACAGACACAAAGATGATTTGCTTCCTGTTCCAAATCTAATTTGGTATTTGGGGGAGATTAAATTTATATGGAATAAGAAACTGCCCACAGCAATTACTTAGTGCAAACAAACTTGATTCGTGTTCAGTAAAGTGATCTGAAATCCTATGGGAGAGGTTACAGAACTAAAACAGAACTAGAACTAAAACTAAATCTCTTATCCGAGCAATACCGCCCTGCTGCCCTCCATTGAGGATCACACGTGGCTCCTTTCACTTGCAGCAGCCATATGAACACGATCTTTCTAGCTTACTCTTTTGGCTCCCAATCTTTCTCCTTACTTCCCTTGTGAATTTGAAAGTCAAAGAAGAATTTCCTATAATATCAATGTGAGTATCATAAGGGATAACCAAAACAGCTGGGTAATGGGATTTTACAGTTTCACACGCCTGTTTATATTTCTGCTTTTCATCTCCCATGTACCCCTCAAAACAGATCCTTTCTTTACGTAAACTGTTATGAAGTTTCACAGACTCATTTTCAATTTCCTCTTTGACTCTTAAAACCTGTTCAGTGCCAGACCTACTTCTGGCATTCCTAATATATAATGTAGTTATTTCACCCTCAATATCGTCAGAAATTACAACATCATAATTTACTAGTAGTTTCTTGAAAAAAAAGTGTTTCATGTAGTGATATATATCGGTGTCAAGAATCAGCACCTGTTTTCCTCCATCTGCATCAGGAATTGAATTACTTGTCTCCATGGAAAGTCTTTGCTGCCGGAGACTCCTCTTCGGTCTCTGATGGGACTTATTTTGTTCTCTTTTGTCCTTCTCTGAAAGGGATTTTGCTTTTAACAAGAGAAAGTCTTTTAGCAGTTTGATTGCTGGAAACGGCCCTTCGACAGAAATATGGCCATCAGACTGCAAGCGACCAAAACTCAAAGCCGGGATGTTCTTTTTAAGTTCTTGTATCAGATCTTCTAAATCAAACTCATCTTTGAAAACAGACATATTGAGGAGAGAGAACACACAGTTGAAAACCTACAATATTAAATTACAGATGTTAAGTAACAGTTAAAGCAGCAATGAATGTATGAATAGATAAACAAGGAATGGGCTTACAGCTCCACAGTAGCGGGTGACTTTCAGAGGATAGCAGCCAGGCAGCCTCTTGTCTTTTAGTTGATGTTCGTCCTTCTTTAGAACGTTCTCTACATCTATAGAGAAAGTCGGATTCGCTTGCTCTGCAGTAAGACTATGTGCTACAGCCAGGCTGATGGCTGGAGCACTCCTTGAGTGTTCTTCTCCTAGCATTTTCCCTAACAATTTTCCACATGTATACACAAGCAATTTAACATTCTTGCCTAATATTTCATGCATCAGTCAAATTTCTTCAGAGGAGAGACATGGAAGCCTGTCTTCTTAGCATATTAATTGGCAGAGATTTATTCCCAAAGGCCTGACTATAAAACTCATGTCTGTTACGCAGGGTCTGAATTTATTCCTAAAACTCAACAAACATTTTGTATGAAGCCTGTTCAAAGTTATGACTATTAATGAATAGAAATAAAATATTAAAATTCGTCTGACTAAAAAAGAGGTGTTAGTCTTCTAGATATATAAAATCTTAGTAGCAGCAAACAATTTGAAGTGGTTTATCTTTAGGTTAATGTTCTGTGGCTAATTCTTTGGTTATGATTTCTAATCATAATTTAAATTTTACTAATTTAAATACCTTCTGGATCCTCAAAAGTTATACGTGCGACTCCTTTTTCCACTGTGGGATACACTACTTGTTCCACATCCCCACCGTTGTTCTTGCGCTTCTGGAAATGCATGTGCAGTATGTCGGCCACGACATCTTTGCTCAGCAGGCCGGCCGGGACACCGGAGACGATGACTGTCCGTGCGGATCTCGCAGCCCGTCCGGAGCCCTGTGCACACAGACATGTCACGCTGTAAACACCGGGAGCACCAGGGATGGGCTTCACCATTAGCCAGCTCTCTCCCTCATATTCACCCCAATCCACCCTGACAGCTTCAGCACAGGAAACACCCGCAGTCAGCACATAAATTAGGAAGGCTGCTGAATCAGGATTTCATTCCAGAGAATGCCAGGCTTCCCTCAGGCTGCTTTACATTACTATGGAGAGAAAAAAAAAAAAAAAAAAAAAAAAAAAAAGCCTGAATCTGTAAGTAATTTACACTCTTTCAGTATCTTTTGTTACAGCAGTAAAAATTATAACTAAATTTAACAGCTTCTCAAATGAAGTGTTCAGCATCACACTGTTAGGACTCTTTTCTCCACTTTGGTTCTAATATTTAGAATTTAAGAGAATTAAAATAGTTACTTGCATGTTCGTTGGAATAAAGGTTGTCATTTTGGAATGGCGGGGTCAAATTCAGAGTCCTTCCTTGTTAAATTCATGAGGGCTGGGATCCAGTGTTGTGCTCTGACTTATGCCTTTCCACTTATTAAACGCATAACCTTGTTAAATTGGCAGAACATAATCCCGGCCATCTGAGATCTGCTGTGCATAAAATAGCTAAATACAGACATGGTTTTCCTCAGAACCAAACCTCCCAATGCTGCAAACATGAAGCCCATCCTAAATGGGATTTTCATCTATTTCTTATAAAGAAAAGTCTATTTTCCTTCCAGTCTTACAACACAAAAGTAAACAGTAATATTTCCATGGGAATATCATGGCAAAAATACTGAACAGTAAGTAAATTTTGTAACAGTTCATTGACTTTTTGGAAGAAAGTGAATAATTTAGTATGTCTGCATAGAAGCATTTGTGGGAACAAACTGTCACTAACTTCTGAGCGCCTGTACTTGAGGTTATTTTTTTTTCTAAATTCCTTAGACTTCTCTTAAAAAGTTTCTTCTGGGGCCGTGCTGCATAAAATATCAGGGCCAGCACAGCAGTTAGAAAGTCTGCAAAACGTGCCATAAGAGACTAATTTTTAACTGACAAGAATCGAAGCCTTGTAAATCACCACTACAGTATTTCTGATGGGAGTGAAGACATGCAACGAGTCACTGTAACCAAGCACTGCTTTTAAATCGGAAAGACATGAGGTCTACTTTTAGCATCCCTGAAACGTAAAGAGCTAAGAGCTAAAATCACAATAGATGCCTTTTTTTTTTTTTTTTTCCTCTCTGATAGTAATGTTTATCTGAGCAGGAAGTTTCTGCCCCAGTCAGGCAGCACAAATGAAAAGCAAAGAGGGTGGTTGCAAGGAGAGTTTTACACAGCATTTTCTGCAAAAAGGTCCAATTTTTTGCGGGGACGCTGTTTCCATGCACAGTCTTTGGGAGGCGGCTTTTTGGTCTCCTGATCTGTTTAATCCAAAGTTGGGATCTTCCAATTCCCTGTCCTGCACTGTGACTGCCCCTGAGGGCCTGAAGGTCCAAACCTACCCCACGGCACCGCAGGAGGCAGCCCAAAGGCAACTTAAGACCTTGTTATTTTCTTAAGCTGTCCAAAAATTAATAAAGAGTATCACTTTCTTCCAAATAAGCTACGGAGGGAACCGATTTTGTTGCCAGGGCAGGGAAACACCACATGAACATTGAAGTGACGATTCGAACCAGGAAGTCAGAGGTGTCTTCACATGGCTATTAAAGAAATAAGATAAAATCAGCAGCAAAGAGGAGACACAATCAGAGCTGTAATTAACACCAAAACCCGTGAAATCCCGAGAGAAGCTGCTGTGAAGTGCGACTAAGCGAGGCGCTGGGGCGCGCGCGGCCGCCGCTTCCGCCATGGCGGCGCGGCCGCCCTCGCCCCGCCTGGGCTGCCGCGCGGCCGGGGGCTCCGCGCCTCGCGCCGCTCACCTGCGCCTCGGCGGCCGCCGCCGCGCCGCGCTCCGCGACCCGGGCCGTTGCCGGCAGCGCCGTTGCCGGCCGAGCCGCCATGGCCGCCCTGGCGCCGGCTCCTCCCGCGCGGGGCGGGCGCGCGGCCGTGAGGCGGCCTGGCCTGGCCTCGCCTCGCCTCGGGGCGCCCGCTCCGCCCCCGCTGTCCCTTTTCCTCCGTATCGGTACAACCCAGCACCCATTCCTGCACAATACACCCGGGAAACGGGCCTGGAGAGAGCAAAGGGCTTTTCCCAGTGTTTTTATGGCTACAGCAGCATCTAGACGCCTCGCGCGCTCCGGCCTCTTCAACTGTGTCCACCTCGTGGGTGGAAGTGCTGGAGAAAAGCTCCTTCATCTCCCAGGCAAGAAATTCACTGAAGGAGGCAGAAAATAGATACTGCTGTACATAGAAAACTTGCAGTGCCCGAGTGGTGAGCCTGTTCTTCCCTCACACACTTATTTCCTGTTGCCTTTTTACAGCACCGCTACACCTTTAGGGTGTAAGGACATGAATTTATGAGACAGAAAATTCAGATAATCACCATTTGGGAAATTCTCAATTTATTAAAAATCCCATCTTCAGTACTTCAACGTTAAGTACGCAAGAACTTAAATCTTCTCCCTTCTTCTGGCATTTGATTTTAACTACTTAGCCTTAAAAACAAAACCAAAAAAAGTACACACTGCCCAAAAATATTCCTGGCCTTATCTCTATTTTTTCCTCCAGTTGCCAGATAATCACCCATGCTTTTGCATGCACTAAACAGTAAGAGGAGCTACAATCATGTATCATCTTCCAGGAACATCAAATCACCTGCACCAGTACAGGCCTTTTCATTTTCTATGTTCAATTTTATTATTAATTGAAAAACATAACTTCTCTAGGATACTATCATCTGAGGTACATTTGTAGTGCTTTTCTTTACACTGGGGTTAAAGGCATACTCCTTTTTTTTGCACACCATAATTTCAAGTATAATGAAATATTATTTTCAATACTATATCCATACTACTTTGAGGATCCCAAGGTAGCAAATAAAAGAGATTACAGGAGAAAAACCAAAGTCTCCACCCTTATGCAAAATAAATCCTTCTGACTTTGCACTTTCTTTTTATTTATAAGATTTTTTAGAATTAGAACTGAGAGGATGAACTCTAAACAACAGGGAGTTTAAAGGCTGAAAAAACAATTAACCTAAAATCATGTTTTTGGCTTTATTTTCCCTTAACTGACTATATCTACCTTTCTGGAGTTGGAAACCTGGCCAGTAATATGCAACAAATTACCTCAAACATAGCAGTCTTCATTATAAAACGTTTTAGATAAAGAATAATCTAAATTTGTAGTTACCACAAATAGCATTTTAAATTCAGCAAAAAAATGAACAGAACATAAAGAATATTGTGCAGAAAGAAATATATGAAGATTCAGCACACCAGCTGTTAATTTATTAGCAGCTCAGCAGAAGTTGGATCAAATCCTCAAAGTATCAGCATTTTGACAGCCAAAAGCCGGAGTATTGCACTCCTCCTAAGGTGCAATTTCATACGGAAATCTCTGGCATTTTCTACTCTCCCCTTTTCTATCACAGACACCATTTGACAGATATACATACACACACACACACAAAGCTCCTTCCATACTGCCATTTCATCTTACCACGTAGTTGCTGATGGAAATTTTATTAACCTTTTAAGTCTTTGAGGCATAGTGCTAAGTAATTTAAGCAGTTATGAGAGAGGAAACTTTTTGAAGCCAAGGCACTTAAATAGGTCTGTGAGGACACTTTCAAATGGCATTATGGCTGGTTTTCCTAGCCAAAAATTAAGAAGGAATAGATTTATCTCACTTTGGAGTGTATCACCTACCCAAAATTTGGAAAAGAGAAAATCTGCAAAAAGAAAAAATGCAGAGAACAGTCTTATAAGTTTCAAGAGCTGGTAAAGGCCTCTTCTATGACTTTCATGTAGAATTTCTGGAATCAAATGGAGTGATTTTCAGTTATTTTATATGCTTAGTTGAATAGAAAAGCCAAGCAGTTCTTCTTTCTCAAATACAGATTTCAGAACAGTAACGCACAGTTATACAAGAACTATCTGCATATTTGCAGATAGTTGTTTCTGAAGAAGCAAAAGCTCCGCATTTGGACAGTTCTATCTAACACTTCATATATCATTAAGTATCCTCCTCAAAATAAGCCCATGTAACCCCTTTTGATACATATTTGATGTTCGCTATTTCTCCACCACCGTTACTAGGCTTTTGAAAATGAATTTCAATCATGTCCTGTACACTTTCTTCATCCTCATCAGTCTCTTGAATTCCTTTCAGCAGAATAGTCTTCTTAGAAATCCCAGAACACACCTGTTGAGGAAAGAAAACAAACAACTTACATTACGTATCAGTTGTCATATGTACATATTAAGAACCTGATAGTTATTGGAAATAAACATATCCTTGAGAAGCTACAGTTATGATTTTTTATTACATTTTAAGGTTTTGGACACTGCACTGTGGTGTATTTTAAATCACTGGAACGAATGCAAGCTCTGAACTCCGCAGGCTGCCAAGGGTGACAGGTAATGCATCTGACCTCTGACTTGTGTCTCCTCCATTCCTTAATACACACACTGGATTCCTGAATCTCTGATGATTCTAGTGGGTATCACTCAATCAAAATCAATGCCAACACACTGGTACACACATGCAAAGGATGCTGTCAGATCTCAAAAATGCACAGCTAAAGAAATGCCTGATTATATACAGTATACAATACCGACTTGATTACAATCTACTCGTACCAAGTAAAACACAAAAAAATTCAGTGGAACAGCACAGTTACTGAGAAGGAGAGGTTTTTTCTTTTTTTTTTTTGGTTTAATAATTGAACGAAAATATGATTGAGCAAATACTTCCTAAAATAGCAGGGGTCTCTGCTGACACAATAAAACCAGGCATCTGATTGGGGCTGATTAGGGTATTATAGTACTTTGTGATTTGAAAATATGTTGTTGTGTCTACTAATAATCTACTTTTTATATAAACAATTCAACATCTGGCTCCTCCCTAACAGAGACATTATGGTAAACAGCAGCACAATCTGATCAAGGAAAATCAGGCACATCCTTTTAGAATGAATTACAGCTTTTACACTGCAAAGCATAAAATTATTAAGAGCATATTGCAGGCTCTCACTTCCTATGAAGTTTCACAGTCTGAAAATTGTGTCCATATCTCTATTTATATGGTAGTGTGAGGTAGATTCTTTTACCTGAAGTTTTTCCAAGTGTTTTTCTGTGCTTGGGGACACAGAAACCAAGTTTATTTTTCCATTTACAACGAAAGGACATTCCATCTGTGTCACAAAGCCACTAGCTGCTGTAATGAAGAATGAGAAAATGGGGAATAACTTCAATAGAGCATAAAATATATTTTTGTAATCACATCAAAAACAGACCAATACCTCTTTAACAAAGATTTAGATATACGATAGCACATTCGTTGACTCTTTATATGTAATAGAAAAAAAAAATGAAAATTGGAATTGGCATTTTCAACAAAGGAAAATAATTAAATATCCACAAAAGCTCTTGAGATAAATCTAAAGCAGCTGCATTAAATGGATGTGGCTCCACTGATCTTGGTAGAATTTCACAAACTTGAACCAGAATGCTTCAAGTCAGACAATCTGAATGCCTTTAACTTCATTGTCATGACTGAGAGCTAAAAAATCAAACATATTTTCCTAATTTTCTCTCTTCAATATAAGCGTCCAGCAATGCAAAGGAAAGATAGATTTTTGACAAAGTTAAAGAAGAAACAAGCTACATAAAGGCATGTCTGATCAGAAAGGAATGTGATGAAATACTACTTTATTTCTAGATACACGAGTGAAACCACAGCACTTCACATGGAAAGTACAACAGGAATAACTTGCTACATCCAGCAACAGAGCTAACGTAGAAAGAAGGTGAGGAAAAGGAGAATATGGCCTATAACAAAATGGCTAACAAAACACTGCAGTGAGTACCTTCAGGCCTGAAGAATGTGATAACAGCTCTTCTAGACATCTTGTCATATTCTAGATTCTCTATTTCTCCTCCTCCATGTTCAGGTTTGCAGAAATGCAGCTCTAATTTGTCTCTCATCCAGTCATCAGGAATTGATAGCTCTGGTATTTCAGAAACGTTGATCGTCTTTCCAGAAATGGTGACATGGAGCTAACAGAAACATTTTTTGTGCATTTCATGACCGAAAGCCACCCACAAAAATGAGCCTATGTACCGCAAGTTTGTATTTTTACAGTTCTATATATTTTAGTCAATTACCTCAAATTTGATTCCCATTTCAAGTGCAAAAGGCTCCACTCTCACATTTGTTATTTTGCTGTCCAGGTTAACAGTATGCTCACCCATTTTTGTCAGCCTCTGCGCAACTGAAAGGAAAATCACAAGTTTTCAGATACGAAAAGCCTTGTGTAACCACTATGAAAATTAGACTGTTCCCAAACTTGTAAGCAAAATCTCTTTTGGCAACAATAAAGAAGAAATAAGCAACAGGTATTAAAATATTAAAATATGCATCATACCTTCCTCTTCTTCAAAAGTAAGCAGCGCTTCATTTTTTTTCAATTTGAATGGGATTTTTGTATTTACGTAAAAGACACAGTGAATATCTGTATCTGGATAACCATCTTTCATGTCTTTCATCTCCATGAACTTCATTTTCATTTCTGGTACCTTTTTTTTAATCTAGTATTTTAGAATCAATACAGAAAAAAACCACAAACCTGTCATTTACTCTATAATAGAAAAATTAAGAGAACAGTCTCACCTTGAAGTTTAACAATCAAGCAGATTAAAGTTACTGCTTGCAGAACATGTACAGCTCAACTAAATATAGTTGTGCAAGTCTAATTTTGGGATTTTTATCTATGAAGACAAAAAAAGTATTTTTTTTCCCTTTCAAAAGAAAATGCTAGGTGGAGTAAGGAAAAATAAAAAAGAACAGTTTGCATCAGGATAAGATAGCCCATGTACTGCAGCATTCCTGCCACATCTCTTCAAAATTCAGCCTCTTACCTAGGAGCCTATTCACCTTTTGTTCACTGTACTGCCGATGGAGAGACATTCTTCCTAAAGATAATTCAGACTGAATCTCCCTCTAGAAGAGTCTTGCCCTGTCCAAAGGTGTACTGAAAATAGACAACTCCTCAATTTAGAAATGTATTTTAAGAAGCTAGAGTTAATGCTCAAATATTATTAACATCAAATAACACCTGAATAGCACTTCAAAATTTGAAGCAAAAGTCTCTATTAAAAAATCATATGATCACAGTCTTCACTTTGTTGTAAATTCTCAAAGTATTTAGTTATGTTCCAACTCAGAATGAAGTCAGATTTTTACAAGCTGAAATTTCCAAAGGGGAAATTCCATCTTTGAACAGCCTGGTGTCCGCAGAGGAATGACTGAAAACACACTTTGGATTCTGAACATAAACCCATTTTGTATCAGTGATACTTAGGTGACTGAAAATTGAGTTAATTTTGATTTGATGTAATATTAGACTGATCAAGTCAAGTTCAATATCAAGTTCAATATAGTAAATGCTATATTTGTCTTATAATGGGCATGTTCCCTTTCTTAAATCCTCTTAATTCAATAGTAAATAAAAATACTTGAAAATTACTACTATTTTGCAAATGCTTTATTCTAGTCTTCCATAATCTTTTTTTTTTTTTTCTAATTTTCTTCATGCTTCTCATGTCCTCTGTATCTCAGACTTTTATCTCAGACTTCTGTATTTGCTTCCATATTCCTGGTTCTCCTCACATTATCTTGACAGATGAAATAAGTAAAGAAAACTTAGAGCTACATTTTCTATTGAAATCAATAGAGGCCAAAGTGCTGAGTTATAGGCCCAAGTAATCTAGAAGTGACAAAATAAAAGCGTAGCCTCTTAAAAGACCAAATGCAAAATATTTCACACATTACCTGATATGAAAGCACTGAGTTACATTTTGCAAGGTCTTCTTTGAGCTTTTCAATCTCTCTCTTCAGCTCAGTATTTTCTTCATTTATCAGAGAGAGCTCTGTCTGCACATAAAAACCATTAAATGCAAAATTGAACATGGAGATAAAAGCATTTCAGCGAAATTCCTACCCGTTATAAATTATCTAGAAAAAATTTTAGAAGTAGAATTATAACAGTCACACGAGGCATTTTTGCACAGCTTCAACTGCAAACAGAGGTAATTTACTCAACAAGGAACAGTTTCACTTGAAGTTACAGAAAGAACATTTTCAGAAACGAGGCATTAGTGTTTTCAACTATATTTAATACACCATAAATTACATGCTGCTTTGCATAGTTGTGTTAATTCCTTCTGAATGCAAGGTCAGAACCTATGTTAACACAGACATTTTATTATTGTATACCACACACATATGACATTGAGGAAAAGGAAAAAAAAGAGGAAAAAAAATGGAAAAAAGAAAAAAAGACAGGCCGTATTTTCTAGAACTCCAAAAAGGCCAATGTCAATGTCACATTAAAGTCAGAAGACCAGAATGAGTACAAGGAATAAGGAATGAAAGAGGCAGTAAGAACAGAGGATCCTGCAGCAGCAGAACCAAAGTTACACAGAACTGTATGCCAGGACAAAAAGTTTGAATTTCATAGCTATGCTTTCCTCAGCTTGAGTTTATCACCACAAATTGCTTCTGTATTAGTTTTTGTACCAGGCCTATATTATACAAGCTTGCAATATCAAAACTGTAATTTCTCACCAGTGTCTTACAAACCAAACTAAAAATCACTAACACACCTCCTTGACACTCCATGGAAAGTTCTGTTATTACAGAATCAACAACTTCACGATAACACATTGAGGCAATTACCGTTTAGTCCTAGAAAGAAAAGGCATCTGGCTCTGGCTCTTGCCAAATTAGCTCCAAGCTTTCCTAGCTCATAGTGACTTAAGAAATGCTCGTTCTCTTGCATATTGTAATCTTTTGTGAAACATGTTGGGATTTAGGGAAGCTGGGGAATAAGTGAAGCAACTAGTTCAACATTATCTGTGCCACACAAGTCTGAAAATTTATCTTTAAGGGGATAATCTTGACAGAGGAAAAACAATTCTGTCAGTCATCATTTTCTACACAAGATGAGTCTAAGTTTTGCCTTTACAAACATTACTGCAAGGGTTTTTTTATTTTTAATTACAGTAATTCTTAATTTGCCATTGGAATAAAAAATAAGCATAAAACATTTTAATCATACAGACTTCAAACTAACAAGACTGTTTAAACTGAAAGGCAAATATCCCTCTCTTTTTTTTTTCTAATAAACCCTTCTCTCACCATTCTGCAAATACTGGCAGCCTTCTCCATACCTCATAGTTTTCCCGAGTTATAGCGCTTTCCTTCGCATGTTTCTCTTTCAAGTCTGCAAACTTTGCCATCATCTCATTCCGTGCTTTAACAAGCTTTTCATCAGCATTATGTTTACAAAGCAGAAGATCACCTTTTGCTTTCTCAACTTTGTCAAGCTTTTCCTAGAAAACAAAAAGAGTTTTAGATAGTAGGCCCTATTTTTTTATTCCCCTAAAGGATAATATTTCACTAAGACATAAAAGTATAGTTGACTGAGGTCAACACAAACAAGTACCAATGAAGAAGGAAAAATAAGTTAGCATCTTAAGAATCATAATCTGCTGTAAGAGGAGTAGAGTTGATTTTCTTTAGAAAAAATGGACTAGTGGCCTTGCAAGGCATATTTCAGGTCCATATCTCAGCTTTCCATTATTCTATGTACTTTATACAACTTGCCTTCCATTTCTCCAGTTCCTTTTTAAGACTTTCCATCTCATCTGTTGATGGGTTAGAAGGGTGAGTGGCTTCCATACTCTGGAGAAAAAAAGTGACATGCACAGAATTTTTGATTGTTTGCTTGTAAATAGGAAATAAATAACTGAGACGCAACAGTGTTCAAGTTATTCTATAAAACTTAAAAAAATAATAATCAATTGAAGAAAATAAGGATAAAGATGAAAATAAGAAGAAATAAAACACTGGGTGAATTATTTTGCTGTGGTACCTTTCAATGTATTAGCATTACTGACAGTCCTAATGTATTTTGTCCACGTGCCCATTTATTGTTTCTCTCCAATTGTACATGCAAGATACATGGCAAGTTTAACATTTTGAGGGGCGCATTTTACTTCATAATCAGATATTACTCATCTCTTTTAACAGATTTTGACACGTAAACCAATTCATTCAACCATTCTTTATGGCTGAATGGGACAAAAACCTAAGAAACTCATATTGATCATAATCCTAATTATTACTTGTTAATTACTCAACTGAAACATTCACAGACTAATATTTTGAGAAATTATTGAAGTAAATTATGCCTGAAGGGAACTATACCTGAAGGGAATTATGATATCTAGCACCAGAAGGGTTTAGCTGTACAAATCTAAGGAGAAATTTTTGCATTTTTTTTACAAACTCTTGCAGATTGGACAATAAGAGGTAATATTAAGTGGAAGAAAGGTGATGAAGGTGTTATAACAGAATTAAAGTACATCTGAGTAGAAGTTCACAAGCACAGGAAAACTGCAACTGGATAAAGCCCAAGAAAAGAGAAAGTCTCCTCTGTCCTGTTTTGTTTCTATGACTGCAATATTCTGCAGAATTAAAAAAAAAAAATCCAAAGAGACCTACTGAAACAATCCCTCCCTTTTACGTAAGATTACGTAAAACTTGAATGTGAATCATGAAATTTAGGCATGGAAATGACCTGTTAGATAATCTAGTCAATTCCCTTGATAACACTGTTTTTTTTTCCTTTCCTAATAAATAAATAAATAAATAAAAGCAAACATTTCCACTACTTTGTCCAGTTTCAAATGCCTCTTAAGCAGTGAGGAAATCCACATCTGCATACAACTTAAAAACAGAAAAAAAATCCCCCACCCAAGGGACCAAGGTCAGGAAAATAGGCAGATGCACGTGCACCACTGAAAGCTCCTTGTTACTGCAAAATATTCTAAGAATTTTCAACATCAAGAGAAAAAAAGGAAAAAAAAAAGTCAGGAAAACACAGTAAGTCCCAGGGAAAGTCCCATCAAAACTATCTGGCATGCTACAAGAGCTGAATGGAGGCACTGGGAACGGGGATTTCCTTTATGAAATCTCTACAGAGATTTCAGCAGGCGAACTAAGGAAGGACAGCTCCCATAGGATCTGTTGTGGGACTCTCCCTGCAGGCCAGCTGCAAGGGAAAAGATGCAGGAAAACCCTGCTAGAAATGAAGGTAAAAGATTTGGGCAAAGAGTTTTATATTGGTAATGACAACAGGACCTTAAGATGCGTTGGGACAGAGAAATGGGAAATGTGTGACATATTAAAGGGTAGAAGGCGATTATGCAACTTAAAATGTTTCAAAACCACCATCCTTGCAGTCCAAACATGCATTTTCATTGAGGACTCCTACTGTCCAATCCAGCTCCTCACCACTGGGAAATACTTCAGGAAATGCTTACCAAGGCACTGTGGCGTACAGAAGATTATATATATGTTGAATTCATTGAAGCCTGGAGGAATAGGGGAAAAAAAAAAAAACAAGCCAAACAAACATTAAGTATATTAACTTTTTTTCGCTCTCTTTGTAATACAACACTCCAGAATGAAATACCAGAAGCTGGATTTATCTAATTTTTTAATATATCATTTTATAGATGTATAAAAATGACATATGGGTTCCCAAAACCTCTTTCCTTACAAAGTGTAGGGGACATATGAAGAATCCTACATTTGTACTTTTATCTCTCTACACTTGAAACCTGGGTACGCACCTACCTTCACGTGCTCCTGCCTGCTCTGTGCATAGAGAAACCTTTTAAACCACCTTAAAAGGCACGAGTGAAAATGCTGCCTCCCACAGACGTGGAAGTGGGTGCAGTTGCCTCTTTCGGCTGCTTGTCCCTCCAAGCCCTTCCCGTTGTTTTAGGGACAGGCGGGAAGCCCTGTCAGCCGGAGGCGGCCCGGGAAGGGCAGAGGCGCTGCCAAAGGGTAGAACGACCCAAGGGGAAACCCTTGGGGCAAAAGGCAGAGAGATTTACAACGGGGGAAAAATATATATATATAAAAATCGGGTCAAACGTTAGCAGGACGGCACCGGGCTCCTGCCTTGGCTTTCGGTTCCGCCCTCCCGGGTCGGCGGCACTTACGGGGTCCCGGGTCTCCGGGTCGGCGGCACTTACGGGGTCCCGAGGCGGCTGCGGGCCGTGCGGCGGCGGCTCCCCGCGGGCGGCACCGCTGCCCTTCCTCGAAATCACGTGGCGGGAAGATGGAGCCCGTCTCCCTCAGCGCCTCCCTCGCGGCCCGGCGGGGCGGACGGCGCCTTCCCGGCACCTGCGGCGCTTCCCGCTCCCCTCATACCCCCGGGCCCCGCGGAAACGCGGCGCGCCGCCGATTAGGAACACCACAGGCACGGGGGGTGGCTTGTGGGCGTCGAGTCAGCCCTCATTTTCCTGCTGTATTTGCCTTTTTTTTTTTTTTTCTTTTTTTCTTTTTTTCTTTTTTAAATCCACTTTTATCTTGGGTGGAAACTTGAGGTTTGGCCTCCAGAATTTTATATGCAGTAAACTGACCAAAGCTATGGCTAAATTTCCTTGGATTTGTTCTGTGCTGGATTACATTTTCTCTGCAATTACAAGTTGCCAGCATAAAAGACTAGGTCATCATTTAAAAGGCAGCTGCTTGGTGGCAGCAATACCTGGTGCTGATGCAGGAGCTGTGTCCAAATTACCACTTCTAGAAAGCTCAGATTTTTCAAGATGGTGCAGGCAGAGCAGCTCGAGGCCCACATTCATTCCCTCTGGGTGGAGGTGCCCATCATTTGTGGTACTGCCATCTTAGAGGTATCCACCATTTTGGGGGTGCCCACCATCTTGGCGGTACATGTTGCCTTGGGCCATGGGGGTGATTTGGGGCCCTGTGGCACAGCACTCAGGGCAACAAGACTGGCACAGCCTCATCCCTAAAGAATATGGTGCTTTTTTGGACCTTTCAGTATGTAAATCATCCTATCTCATAAAAATACTGGTGGCAGATGTACCTAGAATTAGACAACAGAGTCACAGCCTGTGGGCGATGGCAGCATTGTTCTGCAGTCTCTATTTAAGGCCACAATCTGATTGCTGCCTCAAGTTTACCTTTGTGTGCTGTGCTCTACTATATGACCCTGCTGCATCTTGTGGCCACAAGGTTGATTTGGTGAGTTGGATTACAGCACCAGTTGGACTGAGAACTACTTCCCTGGCCCATTCAAAAAAAAAGTTAGGCTTTGGCCAAATCGGTTCCCAGATTTGTGATTGCCCAACAACTAAAGGCAGTGCAAGGAGAGGAGGAGATGAGCATGGTGCTTTCAGCCTGCCTCCAAATCACATTAAAGCAGTCATGGAAGGTAGCCTGAGATGAGCTGACTTTCATTTATAAACAAGGGGCATTCCTTTTCTAAAGACATCTCAGGGAACAGATTCTTAAGGGAAAAACAGATTTCCATGGTGACTGGTTTGAGGAAGAGAAAGCGCTCGCTCCCCTTTGAAGAGGAGGGTGAAGGCTTTGGATGTCGAGTGATTCTTCATGCAGGCAACCAGAGTGTTGCCCATGAACCCTGAGAGGACGTATGACTTGTTTCTTTGTGCAGGTCGTGCCAACAACAGGACACGCGGACACCTTTCCCTGGGAGTCATCAGAAGGGAGATACAGCATGAATGAGCTCCGAGATAGGTGAGTGTAAGAGTAGCACCACATGATGATGATTCAGGAATAGCTGTTGGATACAGGAGCACATAATGCCAGCCAGTCTGGCACAGCTCATTGAATTCGGCACTAAATATCCATTCAGAGATGCATTGTAGATGTGTTGGAATCATGAACAAATTTGAGCAGTGCCTATATCGGGGAAAAAGTGAAAGCATACTGCTTGCAGAAATATATGAGCAGGTGTCCTTTAAATTTAATTTAAATAAATTTAAATCGTTTAGTCTTTTAGATGTTACTCTCAAAATTATGCTCATGGACCTTAGAATCTGTATACTTAACAGGCAATCTGCACTGACAGAAAAAAAAGTCCTCAGAAATTCAAAATATGCCAGTTGAGTTGATCAAAAAATAGAGCTGACTTTGTCACTTACAGAATATGGATTTCTGTTTTCAGAGAAAAGCAGAAAGAGGTAGGTATGAGTGCAACCTTGTAGCATGGAATTGCTTGGACTGTGCACACACGCTTGAGGAAAACTGCACAACAGCCAGATCAGGGTCCTCAGCACTTTTGCTTTCATTGGCTGTACAAGGGCAATCTTGAACTCTACCCTGCTTGGATACCAGTCACCTTGTACCACTGAGTTCAGTGGAAGTTTTACACGTGACATAAATATTATTTGGGTAGCTTCAGATTTCTTTCTCTGTTTTTGTTTTTAAGATAAATTCATGAAAATATGATCCTGTATTCATGAGATTTTTTTAGAAAATATTTTTCAGATTTTTTTTCTGCCATGACAATGGATAACAATGTTTACTATTGCTTTGTAAACATAAAATTGGTTTCTAATGAGATGAGTAAAAGGGAGAGGTTTAGCTGGGGTAGCCAGGGAGGAGGAGGTGATTATGTTATGATCTAAGTACATTAGATTTCAGATTTAAATGTCAGAGTGGTATTGGCAGGCTGTTTTCCATGAACAGTGGTCATGTTGGGAAGTCACTGCTGATCTGAAAGAGCTATATTTTATTAAACTCCAGGGACTGCAGTAAAGTCAATCTGTTTACATGGCCCATGGCTATGGGATTTAAGCAGAACAATGTGTTTGTGATTGTTTTGGGAAGAATATTTACTGGAGATAATAAACTGGACCAAGCCCCTTAACTGAAATGGAGTTGGCTTGGAGTTGATTTGTTAATTGATTTCTATGTGTTGTCAATTTATAGTGTTGACCACATATGAATCAGAGAAACTGGAGAAGTACTGGTTTCATAACTCCAAAAAATCTAACTAAAGGGGAAAATCAAGGAGTAAAATATAGCATAGAGTTCAGAAAATTTTAAGACTCTCAGAATTTCCCTGAGCAGTCTGAATTGATACCCAACTTGTTCTTTAGGAGGCTGATAATAAACTCCTAATAAACCTAGGAATCAGAACTGGACACATCAAAAAAAATGTAGAAATGTCCGCCCTTACAGGAGAAAGTATAGGATTAGGACTTATCTACACACAAAAGTACTCAAATTAAGCTGGAAGAAAGTGTACAGCCATAAGTTTACCTTTCATTTATAGCAAAATCCGTTTAACCCTGTATCTGGACAGTTGTCCTTAAGAATCTTTTAGCGTAATTTTCAGAGGTATTTTGGTCCTATTTTCTTTTAGGTTACATTAGGTCCGAAGAGAGTGATAAGTGATTATTAAGTTCCTAAATTAAAATTGTGATCATGAAAACCCTTTTGGGTGCCTGTCTAATCCTTGCACTATCCTGAATCCTGAGGAGCCTAGTTCTTCAGCCAGAACTCACATCCTATTAGTGGTGGCAGCTTTGAATGTCTTGATAATTGAGAAGCCAGATTCAGTCATTAAAGCATTCAAATGGCAAATACGGCATTTGAATAATTTGATAGAACAATGTTTTACAGTTCAGATGGATTGTGTGTTTCTTTTAAAACCTGGCCAACAAAGCCTTAGAGATGCCTTCCCTGCTTAAGCTCAAGATTTACAAAGTCTGGAAAAGGGCAGTAGCTTTCATAGATTAATTGTCCTGGAAAGGGCAATCAAATCTCATCCCGTCTTAAGGATCTACTCTTGCATTTTGTGCACCTGTTAGGACACAAATACTTGCCTTAATAAGCAGGGTACAGAGCCATAATTTCAATCCTTTTTTTTTTTTTTTTTTTTTTTTTTTCTGTACTGTTTAAAGAGTTTCCGCAACCCCTTGTACTTCTTCCAGCAGCTAGGCTGTCTAATGGGAATGATGGTTCCCATTCAACCTCCTGCATGATGATCCCTACTTAGTAAAAAAACCTACCAACTTTGAGCAAACAGATGACTCCTTTCCATCCTTGGTACAACACCAGATCCTGGGGAACAGCAGATCTGATGCCTGTATTTTCTGTGGTTTTGGCAGCTGCAGGATTTACCTTATGCAGTATGCTGACTTGTAAGAGGCATCAAAAATCGCCGTGCTCATCGTACTGAGTCTCATTGCTGAGATACTAACGTCTGTACTTCTTCAAACTGATATCAAAGAGACACCAAGGACACGCAGATGGTAGTGTCTGTAAAGAAACTATCCCATCTACTTCTGCCATTCGTTTCTCCTCTCCCCTACCCTGAGCAAGTATTTCTGCAGCTATGTCATTGTTTAGATTGTGAAATGAGCCAGGTAAAATTAAACAGAAAAAAAGTTATTTTTTAGCTGGCTTATTGCTTCAAGCTATATCATCTTGTGTCCAAAAAATAGCATGCTGTCCCAGGAGGAAGGTGACGTGGAGCAAGGTCAGTGGGCTTGGGGCAGGGACTGCATGACAGCTTATTTCAGTAGTGGCCA